AAAGGCGTGAGCCACTGTAAGGACCCAGAAAGAGGACCCCAACTCAAGTCCCAATTAGCGCGCACCCAAGGAGACACAAGAGACTTACTTGATGCAATGGCAAAAGGCAGTTTACTAACAAGGGCCCTTGGATCGAAACTCATCCCACGCAGGGGAGAGAATTTCGATGAAGACCCCAGGAAGTTTAGAACTTTTATAGGGGGAGGGACAAGGGGGAAGGGAAAAGTGGGAAATTCTGGCGCGGTTACATATGATTGGATATTTCAAACATCAGCACTTTGCGTAAGCAATCATTTTGACAGGTTGGATGGCCCACTAGTTTTGACCATGAAGTCTCAGACCTTCTAGGATAAACACCAGGTGGCCCATTACTCACTTGGGTGTGTTTAGACTGGTCAAGATATGTCTTTGGTTGTTTCTACATTTCTGGTCACCTCGTCCCTAGAGGGGCTTGATATTTTTATTATGGCTACTCTCAGTAAGCTCAGCAAGCTGTCCTGCGGTCTTTGCCAAGTTGTTTGTGGTCTCTGCTGAGCTGTTTTAATTTTTACCCTTACACCACCACTGCCCGGCCACAAATCCTGATTGGGTAAATAATTTGGCACAAATGTTTGTGGACTTCAGGCTTAAAAGCTCTGTAGAATCCAGGCTAGTCACAGCATCAGCTCCCAAGTCTGATCTGCAGCCCTGACCCATCAGTTCTGAGGCAAATGCTCAGTAAACAGTCCCTGTCTGACTGAGATCTGTGTTCTTGTGGTTTGAGGGATGACTCCTGAACCCCAAGGTATATAAATGCTATCCCCCCCTAGGTGGGGCTGGGCGATTGCTGGTCTTTAAGGGAGATTGGTTTCAGTTCGTTAGTAGTGCTCAAAGAAGGAATAAAGGGAAGAAATTAGATTCGGGGATCTCTCTGTGTGTATCCTTTCTCTCCTATCTAGGAGATGAATAGAATACAGAATGAAATCTGGGTTGGGGGGAGGATAAAGGGTGGGGAAAAGAACCCACAAAGAAGCAAAGACCAGCAACATAATACTGGCAACAACTTCACTAATCTTGGAAGTAGGGTTACATAAAGTGTGAATTGCATCACAGAATGGAATATTATATAACCACTAAATATGACATTTTACTTATTTTTCTTTAATTACTATGTGTGTGTATATACATAGAAATGTATAAATACAAGCCACAGAGTCCATTCAGTGTTGTTTGTATGTCGCTGTTTTTAGGGCTGACCACTCGGTACTGGATAATCATTTAAGAGGCTCATTCCTGGGCATGGCTGGTTCCCCCTCTCTCAGCAGTCATTGGTTGATGTAGCTTTTCATCTATGGGTGTTGCCTTTTTGAGACATGCTGGCATGTCAACTGGTGGCATTGTACAGGTCTTGGTTAGTCTATAAATATGAGCATATGACCTTTTTTTTTTTTTTTTTTTTTTTTTTTTTTTTTTTTTTTTTTTTTTTAGTTTTTCGAGACAGGGTTTCTCTGTATAGCCCTGGCTGTCCTGGAACTCACTCTGTAGACCAGGCTGGCCTTGAACTCAGAAATCCACGTGTCTCTGCCTCCCAAGTGCTGGGATTAAAGGCATGCGCCACCACGGCCCAGCTAAATATGACTTTTTAAAAATACATAAAAGTTATTTGTTGCCAAGTGTAGTGATGCATACCCGTAACTTCAGCACTGGGGAGGCTGAAGCTGGACAGTCGCCATGTATTAGACCTTCTAATTTCAACCTTCTAATACTTTAACACAGTTCCTCATGACGTGGGACCCCCTAAAATTGTTTTCTTTGCTACTTTAAACTGTAATTTTGCTTTTATGAATCATAAAGTAAGTATTTTTGGAGGTACGGGTTTGCCAAAGGGGTCACAAATCACAGGTTGAGACTTATTTGAGGTACATCGCATGACTTTGTCAAACACACACACAAACACACACACACGTTATCTTGAAATCTAAATTTGAAACACAGCCAGATAGAGACTGTGTTTACCACTTGCTCCTAGTATGGATACAAAAAGGTAGCCACAGTTTCCAAAGAGAAACAGAAGAGGGCTGGCTGGGGCTCTGCCTACTGGACAGCCCCAGGTTCCACCCCCAATACCAAGTAGACCAGGCTTGACGCCCCTGACCCATAATCCCAGCACTTGAGAAGTGGAGGCAGGAGGATCAGAAGCTCAAGGTCATCCTCGGCTATACAGTGAGTTTTAGGCAAGTGTAGGCTGTATAAGGGTTTCATTCAAAAAAGAAAAGAAGAGAGAAAAGACAACAGAAGAAAAACAAATCAAATGTTTAAACACCAGTTCTCCCAAGACTGACATTAGGTCGATGCTTTTTTTTTTTCTTCCCTGTAATTTGTTGTATTTTCCAAATATTCAAAACATGGAGAGAAACGGTCACTTTTTAAGAGCGAGTTTGTTGTTGCCTTTTAATAACTTTAAGGGTTCTGCACCCAGAAGGATTTATAGAAAATGGTAACACTTATACACACAGTGCCAGTGGTCCGAGCAGAAGCAATGCTGTAGAGATCTCTCCACTCATGTTACAGAGGATATTAGACCCAAAGTGATGAGCCTAAGAGACAGGAATCCCACACGTGGTGGGCAGGGCTCTGTTCCCAGCACTCACCAGCACATCTGATTGGCTTCCCACTTAGCCAGTATCTCCATCTTCCAGTTCCAGAATGTTCCATATGCCAGTCTCAGACTCACAGTGTGTCCCCGGGCCACCAGCATCATCCTAGCTGCCCTCTGATAGCAGTAACAAATGTGGACTCTCACAGACAAGCAAAGAGGTACGGGCCTGTGCTCCTTGCACTGGAGAGGCAGAGGCAGGACAACTGCCACACATTTGAAGCCAGCCTAGCTTATGGGATGAAACTGTCTCAAAGAGAAAATGATCTCAGGTCTCTTCCTTGAGAAAAGAGGAATCAGAGCCTGTATTTTATAGAATTATAGAATCCTATTATAGACCAAAGCTGACCCGTATGCCCAAAGTCATTTTTTTTAGAATTATATTTACTTATTTATGTTTGTGTGTATGTCTGTAGGTGCTCACAGTGTGTTTGGGTCCCAAGAATCAAAGCAAGGTTGTCAGGGTTAGGCAGCAGGTACCTCCTGCTGAACCATCTCGCTGGTCCATGAATGGCCAAAGTAAAACAAAGAGATCAAAAAAAATAAAAATAAAAAATAAAAAAAAGGCCGGGTGGTGGTGGCGCACGCCTTTAATCCCAGCACTTGGGAGGCAGAGACAGGCAGATTTCTGAGTTCGAGGCCAGCCTGGTCTACAGAGTGAGTTCCAGGACAGCCAGAACTACACAGAGAAACCCTGTCTCGAAAAACCAAAAAAGAACAAACAAACAAACAAACAAACAAAAACAAAGAGATCTGGGTTGTGGTGTTTTGGTTTGGGTTTTTTTTTTTAATTTGGTTGGTTTTGTTTTGTTTGTGTGTTTGTTTGAGGAGTCTTATCATGTGCCCTTAGTTGACCAAGAACTAGTGTAACTCCCACCAGTAGAGAGTAAGGCCATTACCATAATTTAAAGCCAACTTTAAAGTAAGCTTTCATTAAATACTGGCCAGGGTGATGGACTCTCTGGTCAAGTCCATCTCTGGGTTCCCAGAGAATGACCTCGAGTCATGCTTTGCAGAGGCTTTAAAAAGGCAAACCCCACAATTCACTGCATTTCCCATCAGGTTCAGTTAGGGACAAGCATATATCTTGACGTATTTCCTGCCTACATGTGACCCTGATTTACCTCCAGCTCACAGGTGATCAAGCACATCCGTGAAGATGGGTCAAACAAACACAGGACAAACAGGAACGTATCCATAAATGCAAACAGAACTCTTTTTTTTTTTTTTTTTTTGGTTTTTCGAGACAGGGTTTCTCTGTGTAGCCCGGGCTGTCCTGGAACTCACTCTGTAGACCAGGCTGGCCTCGAACTCAGAAATCCGCCTGCCTCTGCCTCCCAAGTGCTGGGATTAAAGGCGTGCGCCACCACCGCCCAGCCAAACAGAACTCTTAACCTGTATGGTATATTTTTCCCGTTTTGATTCTCACTCTATGTAGATCAGGCTGACCCTCAACTCACAAAGATCCATTCACCTCTGTGGGCCACATGCCCAGTTACTTTATTATTTTATTTTGTTTTATTTTATTTTATTTTATTTTATTTTATTTTATTTTATTTTATTTTATTTATATACAGACAAAGAGTACTGGTGACTTTTAGCAATCTTTGACTTGTGCCGTTCAGAACATAACACTTTCAAAAAGAGCCAGATTTCTCCATCCAGGATTCTCTGATATCCATAACCATGCCAATCCCACTGATGAGGAAGGGGATCAGGCTAAAGATCAAATACTGTAAGTCACTTATGGTAGAACTTCCTTTGGTTCCGAATTTATGACAGTCAACCATGTACACTAACATCGTTACTCCGCCCCTGATTTCTTAAGCCATGCCTCATTCCATACCATCTTACGGCTTCCTCTGCTCTTGAAGTCTTTTAACTTTCCAAACCGCCTCCAGCCTCTGTCTCGCCCTCATACCTAACCCCTCCCACCCAAGGGGAGCGCCGCCGCGAGCCCCGCCCTACACCTGTTCCTCACCTATAAATATGTTTTATCAGCGCAGGCTCCGCCTTTCTCTAGCTCCGCCCACCAGCGGAAAGCACCTCCATAGGCCTTGTCCTACATGGCCCCGCCCATGTTGTGGGCGCGTCAGGCCCCGCCCAGCTCTCGCCGAGCCGCCGGCCGGCGTGCGGACTGCGCAGGTGCGCTCCTCAAGCGCGGCCTCCTTACCCCACGCAGATCTTGCGGCCTGAGAATGGGACGGCGGCCGGAGGCTTGGCTGTAGGTGGTACCCGAGACCGCGAGAGCGAACTGGGGGTCTCCAGAGACCTCTCGAGAGGGGCACGGGCGAGGCCCATCGCTACGGCCGTTGTGAGCGCGGTGGCCACGGGCCAGGGCCTGTGCTGCACGGAGTCCGCGGATGCGACCTGCGCGTTTCCCGGGGCCGAGGCCACGCGCAGCAAAGACGAGCCGCAACCCCACGCAGTGAATCCTAAGGCAAGCCCTCTGGACCCGGCCGCTCCGTAGGCCACTCCTGGGCCTGGGAAGATGGAGGGGGACCAGCGGTCTGGCCCACCCGCCCAGAGCCTGCTCCCTGATAGCCACTTGGTCCTATGGACGCTGTGCTCCGTGCTGTTGCCGGTGTTCATCACCTTATGGTGTAGTCTGCAACGCTCGCGCCGGCAGCTGCACCGCAGGGACATCTTCCGCAAGAGCAAGCATTGCTGGCGTGACACCGACCTGTTCAGCCACCCCACCTACTGCTGCGTGTGCGCGCAGCACATCCTGCAAGGAGCCTTCTGCGACTGCTGCGGGCTCCGCGTGGACGAGGGCTGCTTGAAGAAGGTCGACAAGCGCTTCCCATGCAAGGAGATCATGCTCAAGAATGACAGCAGAGTAGCAGATGCCATGCCCCACCACTGGATCCGTGGCAACGTCCCTCTGTGCACTTACTGTGTAATCTGCAGGCAGCAGTGTGGCAGCCAGCCTAAACTCTGCGATTACAGGTATGGCAGGATTTGTGGGATATTTGTGGGATATTTGTGGGAGGCAGAATTGCAAACAGTGGGTGGTAAAACCTATATTCATCTCAGCAACGGCCTAAACTACTCACAGCAGGCATCTCAAGCGTTTGCAGCAATTCTCATGTAGATGTTGCTTTTTTTTTTCCTATTTAAGACAGTCTCCTGTAGCCCAGGCTAGCTTCAAACTCACTGGATAGCAGAAGATGACCTTGAACTTTTTTGTTGGTTTGGTTTGGTTTGGTTTTTGGAGACAAGGTTTCTCTGTATAGCCCTGGCTGCCCTGGAACTCACTCTGTAGACCAGGCTGGCCTCGAATTCAGAAATCCACCTGCCTCTGCCTCCCAAGGGCTGGGATTAAAGGTGTGCGCCACCAGAAGCAGTTCATGAGGTGCTGGGTATCCAACCCAAAGGCCTTAAGCATGTTACTCAAGCACTCTTAACAACTGAAACCACCACCCCTAACTTCCCACCCCTGCCAGGGCTCTTAATTTTCATCAAAGACCTCTTAAGTGCTGCCTGACTCGTGGCTACTCTATAGCACCCCATTTTCCTTAAGAAAAAATGAAGAGTGCACAAAAGAACCTTATGCCGGTCACAAAACCAATTGGTTCCTGATTTGGAGCTAAGAAAACAAGGGTCATCCCAAAACAGCACTTTAAATTTCTTTTGCTAACACAGATTAGTGTCATAGTCAAGTGTTGACACACAAGACAGGAAAGGAGTATTACCAGTCATATTTATAGGGGTGTGCAGCTTTGCAGTGACGTTGTGTATGTGGAAGTCAGAAGACAGCTCTGTGAAGTGAACTCCCTTCCAGTCCTGTGGCTCTCAACTCACCAGGCTCTCTCACCAGGGTCTCTCAACAGCCCGGAAAGGACATTTCTGTTGTCAGCTCTTTCAGGACTAGTGTCTCAGACGGGTCACCTGAGTTGCACTGAGGATGTTTTCATGGCTTCAGCATACACACTGAACAAGGACTCTTTGGTGGTGGAATGCTGTGTGAAACAGCTTTCGTGTAGGGAGCTGGTGGACGGCAGCCTTGTAGATAACCTCCTCACTCATTCCAAACTTGAGAAAACTGAGGCTAAAGTTGGGCTGGTTCCCCAAGATTTCCCACACCCAGCCTTGTCAGAGCCTTATCTGGACTTCACTGCCTAACAGGTTTTATTTCCCACAAATAGAAACTCCCCCACACACTTTGAAGAGCAGAACAGAAAGGTGGGAATAGCGCTGAAGCTGCTGTGAGCCTTTGCTTATATGTGTTGGTAGCCACACACAAGTGCAGATGCCCACAGCAGCCACAAGGGGGTCTCAGACTACCCTGGAGCTGATGTAAGCTTCCCAGGGTGGGTGCTGGGAATCAAAGGGTCCTCTGTGAGAGCAGTTGTACACATTTATAACCACGGATCCACTGCTCCTTCCTGTTCTCTTTAAAAAATCTTATTGCTTATGAACTTACTGTCCGTGCTGGGACACATTGAGAGCATTAATAATGATGCCTGAAAATAAGCTAAAATCAAGGTGATCACAGTCAAGCAAAGACATGTGGTCATCATATTTCTGAATCTGACTTTTTGTTTGTTTGGTTTGGTTTGGTTTGGTTTTTGTATGAGTGTAGATCTTTTACCTACAAGTTTATCTGCATCACATGTATGCTTAATACACATGGAGGCCAAAAGAAAGCATCTAATCCCCTGCCTCTAGCCCCACCACTACACCTGGGTGCCTGCAGCTGCCTAGTCCCTTTTCCAGCTTTCCTGCTGTTCTTCTCAATTCTTTTCTGATAAAAGTAGGGAATTGGGTTCTATTTAAGAATTCATTATATTAGCCAGGCATAGTGACTCATGCATTTTAATCCTTGCACTTGGGAGGCAGATGCAGGAAGATCTCTCTGAGTTCAAGGCCAGCCTGGTCTACATACTGAGTTCCAGGACAGCCAGAGCTATGTAGTGAGACCCTGTCTCAAAAAGACAAAACAAATGAACAAAAACAATTTATTATATTTGAGCCTGGAGAGGTGGCTCAGCAGTTGCATTGGCTGTTCTTCTAGAGGCCCCAGGTTCAGTGCAAAGCACCCACTTGGGGAGGGTCAGAAATTCAGGGTCATCCTTGGCTACAGAGTTCAAGGGCAATCTGAGATACAAGAGACTAAAAAAAAAAAATTGAAGATAAACTGATGCATATTTTTAATAACTATGACAAAAAGATTTCTGGGTGAATCAAAGTGTATGCAGTTATCAAAACCTAATGAAAGTGCAATCTACCTTTAATCCCAGCACTTGTGAGGGAGAGGCAGGCAGATTTCTGAGTTCGAGGCCAGCCTGGTCTACAGAGTGAGTTTCAGGACAGCCAGAGCTACACAGAGAAACCCTGTCTCGAAAAACTAAAAAAAAAAGAAAAAAAAAGAAAGTGCAATCAAGATGGTCCTGTGAGTGTCCTTTTGCCACCAGGTCTCAGAGCCTGAGTTCAGTCTCCAAGGCCCACCACCACACAAGTGCTATGGCGTGCCCTTGTAACACATGTGATACATTAGGTGGGTGGGTAGGTAGGTAGATAGAGTTTTAAAAACTAATGACCAAGGCTACATGATAACACTCTTTCTCAAAAAAAAAAAAAAAGATGAATATAGCATATAACTGAGTTCACAAAAAAAAAAAAGGCAAAAAAGAAAACTCAGTTTACCTAGTTATCAAAGACCTCTGTGTTAGAACAATAGAGTTTTTTGGTTTTTTTGTTTTTGCTTTTTTATCATCAAGACAGGGTTATAGGTACTAATGAACAGTACTTTAAAAACCATGGTTTAGGAACTAGGGATGTAGCTTAGTTGGTAGAATGCCTACCTAGTGTGTATAAAGCCCAAGTTCAGGTTCAGTTCTCAGTACCACATAAACTCCTCTGGTCGTGCACACCTGTAACCTCAACACCTGACAGGTAGTGGCAGGAAGATCACACAAGTTCAAGGTCATCCTTGGCCAGATAGAGTTTTGAGGCCAGCCTGAAATACATAAAACACTAAGAAAAGATTGACTAAGTTGTAAAATATCTATATAATGTAATACTACACATTTCTTTCTACCCCATGTTTTTAGAAAATATATACTAGCTTAGGAAAATATGTCTGATACCTACACAGTATCCCGTACAAATACAGACATACGGTCCTACCTGAGAAGCGTTTTCACACTATAAATCTGGAAGTAAGTACTTGAGAGAATTGAGTGGCTGTCTGTGGATGACTTTATACCTTTCTACATTCCTAAATTCTCAAGTATGTTAGTGTTATTTAAAATACAGTTTAAAAAAACTTAGTAAAGAAATTCATGAATATATTCTAGTTTTTAGAAACTTAACTGACACACAAAAATAATCAGGTTAGAAGTTCATGCCTTCCCAGCCTTAGTCTTGTCTTCTCAGAGGAAGTTATTATGAAATACTTGAGTGGATATATTTACAGATTATATTCAGTAATAATATACTATTTTTAGGTTGTAATTCTCTTTTATAAGGCCACCATCATTGTATAACCCTGTCAGAAGATTTTGAGAGGTTCTTCAGGGCATTAGATTTGTTTTATGTGCACTGGTGTTCTGCCTGCATGCTTATTTATGTACCCCATTCATGCCTGGTGTCCCCAGGTCAGAAGAGGGTGTCAGGTCCCCTAAACTAGAGTTATAGATGCTTATGAGCCACTGTGTGGTTGCTGGGAGTCTAACCCAGGGCTTCTGCAAGAGTAATAAATGCTTTTAACTGCAGAGCCATCTCCCAGCCCCTGCCCTTGCTTTCTCAACACTATAGGTTTTTGTTTGCTTGTTTGTTGGATTTTGTTTTTATTTTGTTTTGTTCCAAGAAGAGCATTTTCTGAATGGGAAACTATGTGTCTCCTCACAATATATTCCTTACTGCTTGTCTCCCTGTAACAACAATTTACATGCCAAATCTGATTAGCAGTGCAGGTGTGAGACCAAGGAGGTAAGTAGATCAGTGTCTCATAGTCTTACTCAGCTTAAAAATGGGTGGTGAGAGGAGCTGAAAAGATGGCTCAGTGATTATGAGCACTGGCTGCACTTCCAGAGGACCTGGGTTCAATTCCCAGCACCTATATGGCAGTTCCCAACTGTAACTCCCAAGAGTTACACCCTCACACAGACATACATGCAGGCCAAACACCGAAGCACATAATAAATAAATAAATTGATGGTGAGATTTGACCCTTTTCCTCACAAATAAATGTATACGGGGGCACCCAAGCCCATTGTGGCACCACTGACCTGTAATTCTAATACTCTGGGACCTGAGGCACTGGGACTTCAAAGCCAGAGAGCCAAAAAGGTAGAATCTTATCTCAAAAAACAATAATATATACAGTGATCACAATACAATAGTAATTAGCTGTAGGCCACCAGTAGATGGAATAGTTACATCGACTGTGTAACCATCTGTTACAGTTTCTGAAGTTAAAGACCAATATTTATAAATGTCATGAGCAAGCCGTGTTATAATTGTCTGTAACACATTGCTCAGGTATCTGTTTTTAGCCGTCAGTAGAACTCTTGAGTAAACAGCAGTAATCACTTGACAAATCTCACCATCTAAAAGGAAAAAACACCTTTAAAATAGAAGGCCCAGAGTTAACATTCCCTCCTTTTTAAATTAGTTAATTCTGTCCTTCTCTGGTGGCCTGTTTCTGCTAGTCAGATGTGTCTTATCTCTGAGTGGATTAAATAGTTTAGCAGATTAATAATAGAAAGCCTGAGTCTCGCCAGCGCTAATCCCTGCCTGTTGTTGGCACTAGCACCCAAAACGGAGTAAATCTGGATGCACATGTCCTATCTTGGTTTTAGAACCAGACACTGAACTGTTTATCAGCTCTTAAACGAAGTGGGATGTTTGGGGGCTGGAAAGATAGCTCAGCGGTTAAGAGCACTGGCTGCTCTTCCAAAGAACCTGGCACCCACATGGCAGCTTACCACTGTCTGTAACTGTAGCCCCAGGAGTTCTGACACCATCACACACATACATGTGCATCCAAAACATCAATGTCATAAAATAAAAATAAATAATTTTAAAGAAATGGGATCTTTTACTTTTTCTACATAAAAATTGAAACGTTTCCAAACCAGGCCTGCAGAACTACAGATATCATAAACAGGTTTCAGCTAGTGCACACACATTTCTAATGTACAGCTCTTGTTCTAGATTGACCTTTTGTTTGTTTGTTTGTTTGTTTTTGTTTTTTGAGACAGGGTTTCTCTGTGGAGCCCTGGCTGTCCTGGAACTCACTCTGTAGAATAGGCTGGCCTCGAACTCAGAAATCCACCTGCCTCTGCCTCCCAAGTGCTGGGACTAAAGGCGTGTGCCACCACTGCCCCATGTAGATTGACCTTTTAAGGGAGGTTGTACCTACAGGTATTACCATATTACAAAATTGCCCTAAGAAGTTACTTATTCATTTTAAAAATTTTGATCATATGGAGTACATTTTTGAGGAAAATTTTTTATTACCTTTATTTCTGTGTGGATATGTTGTTGTAACTTTTTGACAGGATGTGGTTTGTGGATTGGAAATGCTGGTTTAACACTAATTGACAGCTGTTTCTTCTTTCCTCAGGTGCATTTGGTGCCAGAAGACAGTCCATGACGAGTGTATGAGAAACAGCTTAAGGAGCGAACAGTGTGACTTTGGAGAATTCAGAAATCTCATCATCCCACCAAGCTATTTAACTTCCATTAACCAGATGCGTAAAGACAAAAACACAAATTATGAAATGGTAATTCATCTATTTTCTTACAAATTTATTCACTTAAAGTTGACATATAAGATAGTTAATTCTGTGTATTTGAGAAAAATTGAGAATTAAGTAACTAAGAGGTCAAGATATATAAAATGTTGATATGGTAAACCATAAAACCTTAGCCAAGGTCCAGCATGATGGCAAACAACTTTAATAGCACCACTTAGGAGGTAAAGGCAGCAGGACCAAAAGTCCAAGGCCAGCTTGGTCTATATCGAAAATTCTGGAATGCTTAGCAAAGTATGATTTCAAAAACTAAGAGCCAGGAGCTGGAGAGGTGGCTCAGCAGTTAAGAGCACTGGCTGCTCTTCCCGAGGACCAGGATTTGTGTGAAGCACAAATGTGTGAAGACTCAGCCCCAGCTCTAGCTCCAATACAAAAGGATCCAGTGCACGTTCTGACCTGTGGGCATTGTTTTGTACAGTACACAGGCATAAATGTAGCCAAACCCCATCCATGCATAAAATAGTAAAAGAGCCTTCAATCACAGTACTCAAGAGGCAGAGGCAGGAGACAGACAGATAGATCTCTGTGAGGCCCTGTCTCAAAGACCAAAGCAAAAGAAACTAGGAATCACAACTAAATCTCACAAGCTGATACTATATCCTCAAATACATCCAGAAAAGGAAAACAGAGATAAGAGAAAATAAAATCCAGTTTGTCAGTGGCTAAAAGAACATGAGCTGTATTACCTGGGGACAGATTCACAAGTGTAGAGGTTGAACTTCACTAATCCAACATTTTAGGTGCCATCAAGACACCACAAGTAGAAAATCCTCCTAATTTCAGGACAGGTTGTGGTCAAAATGTAGGACACTAAAAAATGTCGTACAGAATTGTCTGTGTCCTATGTCTGAAGGTTCAAACATAGAGTTAATGTAAATCAACTTCATATTAAACTTGGATTTAATTTCCAAACACCCCATTATGTATATGCAAACCCTCCAAACTAATAGACACTTCTGGCCAGGCATGGTGGTGCACCTTTTTAATCCCAGCATTCTAGGAGGCAGAGGCCAAGTGGATCACTCAGTTTGGGGCCAGTCTGGTTTACAGAGTACAGGTTTCAAGATATCCAGGGCTACACAAAGAAATTTTGTCAGGGTGGGGGGAATGACATGTGATGACAACAGGACACACAGGGACAGACACAATGACATGACCTACCACATGTTGCTAATCTGTTGGCAACAGTCCTGTAGATGGGAAGACATGGTATCTGTTTATATATCCACTGGTGAGCCTCCAGCCTCTGATGGATAGGTCCAAATTCAGGATCACACAGGTTCCCCTGATTGAAATCTAGGACACCAAACTAAACCAAAAGGAGTAACTCTTAGGGGGGCTGCTTTTAGGAGATGGAGAGGAGGGGCTGGAGAGATGGCTCAGGGGTTAAGATCACTGACTGCTCTTCCAATGGTCCTGAGTTCAATTCCCAGCAACCACATGGTGGCTCACAACCATCTGTAATGGGGATCTGATGCCCTCTTCTGGTGTATCTGAAGTCAGCAACATATTCATATACATGAAATAAATAAATCTTTAAAAAAAAAAAAAAAAAAGAAAAGAAATGGAGAGGAGAAAGGAGGCCCAGGGTGAATAACACACGTGTATGAAAGGATGGAATGAGGCCATAGGCCCAAGGGGGTGGAGGAGACACAGCACGTAGGGTTCAAGCACTTCTGATAAGGAATACTCAACCTATGTAATTGTGTGGTAAAATGTGATGACTTTGATTCTTTTAGAAATCATTGAAAATTATTAAGAGCCCCATTTTCTATTTGTTTTTATACTAATTTGATTTAGCAGTAGAATGGACTGCTTTATTAATGCATTCCTTTAAATTTTTTTTTTTTTTTTTTTTTTTTTTGGTTTTTCGAGACAGGGTTTCTCTGTATAGCCCTGGCTGTCCTGGAACTCACTCTGTAGACCAGGCTGGCCTCGAACTCAGAAATCCGCCTGCCTCTGCCTCCCAAGTGCTGGGATTAAAGGCGTGCGCCACCAACGCCCAGCCCTTTAAATTTTTTTATTTCATGTGTATGCATGTGTGCATGTACCATGAGCACATGTGTGACTCCATGGGTACCTACACTCACACATGTACATCACACACAACTGAAAATGGAAATTAAATATTTTTTAAACGCTTATTACATTTATTTATGGGGGCTTATGGAGGCTTATGGGGACTGCACATGTGCAATGGCACGTGTGTGGAGGTCAAAGGTTAACTTGTGGGAGTTGGTTCTTTCTTTCTGCTAAGTAGGTTCCGGGGATTGAACTGAGGTATTAGGCATGGCAGTGAGCGCTTACCTGCTAACCCATCTCACCAACCCCTAAGTATTAGTCAGAAGTCATTTAAGACATGCTTGAATATTCATATTTAAAAGGACTAGCTGTCTCCTAACAACCTCTTGTGAGCCACCTGAAGTGGGTTCTGGGAACCATACTCAAATCCTCTGCAGGAACTCCACGAAAATACTGTTTAAAAGAATGATAAAGGGGCCGGAGAGACAGCTCAGCAGTAAACAGCACTGGCTGCTCTTCCAGAGGCCCAGTTTCAATTCCCAGCACCCTCATGGCAGCTCACAGCTGTCTGTAATTGTAGTCCCAAGGGATCCAGCACCCGCTGGCTGCTGAGCTGAGGACACTGCATGCATATTTATGCAGACACTCATCCACATAAAAATAAATGTAAATTATTAAAAATTGATTAAATTTAGCCATCAGTTGGTGGCACACTTCTTTAATCTCAGCACTCAGGAGGCAGAGGCAGGCAGAATTCTGAGTTCAAGGCCAGCCTGGTCTACAGAGTTCCAGGACAGCCAGAGCTACACAGAGAAATCCTGTCTCAAAACAACAACAAAAAAAAAATATTAAATTTGGTTTCCTAAAATGGATGATGCGGGATGAATACTGCGGAGGTGGGAAATGGTCAGTCAGTGTGTACTTGCCGTGCAGGCGTAAGGGGCTCAGTCCTCAGCATCTGTGTGGAAGGCTCAACACGGTGTCATCTATTAGTAATCCTGTCCTCTGAAGATAGCTTCTGGGGCTTGGTGGCCGGGCAACTAAGCATAACTGACAAGTCCTGACCGGTGGGGAGACCCTGTCTCAAGAAAGAAGATATAAAGAAGATATAGCTTCACTGCTGAAACACGTTTTATCCCAGCACTTGGGAGGCAGGGGGAAGTTGATCACTAAATTCAGGCCAACCAAAACAGTATAGCGAGACTCTCTCAAACTGGAGAGAGAGAGAGAGAGACAGAGAGAGAGAGAGAGAGAGAGAGATCTCACCTCTACATAGAGAGAGAGATTTTGGGGTTTTGTTGTTGTTGATGATGTTTTGTTTTTCGAGACAGGGTTTTCCTGTATAGCCCTGGCTGCCCAGGAACTCACTCTCTATGTGGACCAGGCTGGCCTCAAACTCAGAAATCCACCTGCCTCTGCCTCCCAAGTGCTGGGATTAAAGGCGTGTGCCACCGCTGCCCGGCTCCACATAGAGACTTATACACATAAGAAGTGTACATTGAGTAGACGGCCAAGCTGGACGGTCCTCTCCATTCCTGGACTTGTGTTGATGGTACTGCATAGTTCTTAGTTCAGCAAACGCAGCACACTGTTACTAAGGGAAGTTTTGTTTACCATCTCTCATTCTAACGCCTTTTTGTTCCTGTTTATTTTTTTCTTTTAGCTTGCTTCTAAGTTTGGAAAGCAGTGGACCCCATTAATAATCCTGACCAACTCTCGTAGTGGAACTAACATGGGAGAAGGACTGTTGGGAGAGTTTAAGATCCTGTTAAATCCAGTCCAGGTAACTAAAGAGAAAAACCTTCCTTTCTAAGTCTCCTTAGTTTTAGCTTTTATTTTCCCTGAAATGCAATGGTTATTGGTTTGTTGAATCACTACTTAGTCATAAGAAAGAATAATAATTATAAAAGACTCAAGCCCTTCAAATATAAAATAAAACAAAAATCATATCACCTAGCAATCCCACTTCAAGGGAAATGAAGCCTTATGTCCCATAGAATTGGAAGCAAATGTTCAATGGTAGCATTATCCATAATTGCCAAAAAGTAGACCGGCTCAACTGTCCATTGGCTGCTCAGTAGATGAACAAATTGTGTGTTCATAAAGTAGAGTGGAATACTTTTCATTGAATGAAAGAAATAAACTGTATGAATGAGTGACTTTTTTTTTTTTTTTTTTGGTTTGGTTTGGTTTTTCGAGACAGGGTTTCTCTGTGTAGCCCTGGCTGTCCTGGAACTCACTCTGTAGACCAGGCTGGCCTTGAACTCAGAAATCCGCCTGCCTCTGCCTCCCAAGTGCTGAGATTAAAGGCATATGCCACCACTGCCCGGCGTGAGTGACTTTCAAAAAGGTGCTGCTAAATCATTCCAGGCTGAAGGGGTCATACTGTATAGTTACATTCATGTGACCTATCCAGAAAAGGCAAGTCAGTAGAGTTAGAAAGTGTACACTCATGATTGTCGAGGCCTGGAAGTGGGAAGTGACTATGGGACCTTGCAGCATCTTTTTAAAAATGTTATAGACTGAATTATGATAGTAGTTACACAAACTGAAACCATTTACTTGTTCATTTTCAGAGAGAAATTTTTTTTGAAAAGTAGATTATACCTTGATTTTTAAAATGGGGGACGTATGCTATTAAAGTTAAATGTATCCAGGTATAATGGCACACTCCTATAATCCCAGTATACAAGAGGCAGAGACAGGTGGATCTCTGAATTCAAGGTCAGTCTGGACTACACAGTAAGATCCTCTCTTAAAAACACATTTTTTAGAAAAAGAATGGTCCACTTTGTAGTTATCCAAAATGTAATTGCTTTTTTTCCTTCCAGTTTATGCTTTTACATCTTTAGTATTAAGCAATAACCAAATGATAAGGTAATTTTTTAACATGTAAGACCCCAGATTCAGCCCCTAGCTCTGAAGAGGATAGCTGCCATTCACAGTAAGATGCACAGATTTGCATTTCCTCAGTGATTTAAATATTTTCTGCTGTTGCAATATATCCTCAGAATTTCAAACCTGATGACTAACTAGTAACTGAACAGATATGTGGTGATTTATCAAGTTTCCTACCATTGGAAATTAAGATTGTCCCTGCACTTGGATTACTATAAACTATACCACAGAAGCCACCTATATAGAGGCCATTGGTCTCCAAGTATTTCCTGTGTCAGTAAATCTTTATACATAATCAGAGTCCTTATATTTTAGGTCATTGTATATTTGTCACAAGTATTTTTTAGACATTTGCACTAGTGTTTTGTTTTTAAAGATTTATTTATTTTGCCGGGCAGTGGTGGCACACGCCTTTAATCCCAGCACTTGGGAGGCAGAAGCAGGCGGATTTCTGAGTTCGAGGCCAGCCTGGTCTGTAGAGTGAGTTCCAGGACAGCCAGGACTACACAGAGAAACCCTGTCTCTGAAAAACAAACAAACAAACATTTATTTATTTCATGTATGTGAGTACACTGTTGCTGTCTCAGACACACCAGAAGAGGGCGTTAGATCCCATTACAGATGGTTGTGAGTCATCATGTGGTTGCTGGGAACTGAACTCGGGACCTCTGGAAGAACAGTCAGTGCTCTCTTAACTCCTGAGCCATCTCTCCAGCCCTTGTTTTGTTTTTAAGGCATAAAGAATGGAACACTAGCTAAAGGTGAGCTTAGCCCACTATAGTGTGATGTGAATGGAAAGGAGTCATCATAGACTTAGTCTGGATTGTATCGTATCTCAGCATCTGCAGATTCGCTGGCAACTGACTTAACCTCCTGGACCTCAGTGTCCTAGTTAGTGGAATGAGGCTGGTTCGTGCTTTGTAGGTCAGTGTACAGGACGTGTGGCCCTGTCTCTGGGGAACTATGAAATGTAATAGCCAGTACTGTTGCTCGGCTACCCTCTGTTCATCTAGAAGGTAGTCACTGACAGACAGTGTTGGGTAAAAATACTTTTTTTCTTGTCCTTTCATTTTTAGGTGTTTGATGTAACTAAGACTCCCCCGATCAAAGCTCTGCAGCTGTGCACTCTTCTTCCCTATTACTCAGTCCGAGTCCTTGTTTGTGGAGGGGACGGGACTGTGGGCTGGGTCCTCGATGCAATTGATGAAATGAAGATTAAGGTATCTGTCTTGGGAACTACTGTAACGGCGGCTGATGATGTGGCTCAGGGGTAGAGTGCTTGACGCTGATTAAGTAGTTAGCACACTTATGGTTGTTGTATTTGTGTCTTTGTTGCATTAGTCTTAAAATTTTACAGTTACTATTATGCTACAAATAATCTAAAGAGAAATGTCTGCAGTGCATCTTTTATATTCTAGGGACAAGAAAAATACATTCCAGAGGTTGCAGTCTTACCTCTGGGAACAGGCAATGATCTGTCTAATACCCTGGGTTGGGGTACAGGCTATGCTGGAGAAATCCCGGTTGCACAGGTCTTAAGAAATGTAATGGAAGCAGATGGAATCAAACTAGACAGGTAAGCTACATTGTGCTAGCAAGTCTGTTATTTGAGCTTGAGGATATTATTTTTTATAAATGAAGACTTGCATAGCTATAAAATGTAATGAATTTGGCCAGGCCTGGTGACTCTTACCTGTAATCCCAGCACTTGGGAAATTGAGACAGGAGAGAATTGCCATGGATCTGAGGCCAACCTAGGCCATAGCATTAAGACACTGTCTCAAGGCCGGGCAGTGGTGGTGCACGCCCTTTAATCCCAGTACTTGGGAGGCAGAAACAGGCGGATCTCTGAGTTCTAGGCCAGCCTGGTCTACAGAGTGAGTTCCAGGACAGCCAGGGCTACACAGAGAAACCCTGTCTCAAAACAAAACAAAAAAGATACTGTCTCAAAAACCAAAAACAAGTTAAATGAAAAGAACTGTATTTGCTGTACTGATAACAGGTGCTGGTGTTCTTGATATTATAAATGGTTCAGTTATAAATTATTCCAAAGTTTGCACACTTGCTTAGATGTGAATATGTTCCCAAATGCTTTATTAGTAAGTGCTAAATAGCACTTATTCCAAATAGAAATTTTTATGTCAGGCTATCTAGAATACAGGTTTTTTGGTAAAAAGTAACTCTTTTTTTTTTTTTTTAACTTCTGTTTTTTAGATGGAAAGTGCAGGTAACAAATAAAGGATACTACAATTTAAGAAAACCCAAGGTACGTGTTTAGTGCTTCAGCTGTAAGCAGTTCAGCAAATGCACACAGTGTCTGCAGGTAGGATGAAGAGATCTGGTCTGAACGGGGCTGGGTACAGGGCAGAGCACCAGAGTGCCTGCCTTACTCACCGAGCTTGACTGCTTCCTGTCCGGGTTTTTCCCCTTTGACTTGTATTTTGGGAGGTGCTAGATGACTACTCCACCACTGAGTCCCATTCCAGCCCCCAAGCTGGACTGTATAAAAAGTCCTGTGGAAGAGCGTAGTGCCCAAGTGTGCTTCATTCTGCCACCCTCACAGATCAAGTTAATCTGGAATCAGCAAAGAAACACAGAATTTCCCTCACAGAGATGAAACATGCCAGCAAACAGCAAATAATGCAGAGATAACAGAGTATTTGTTTACTGGGAATCGAAGTCAAGGTTTCACACATGCTGCCCAAGTACTCACCTCTGAGCTACCCACAATCCCCGTCTGTATTTAAGAAAAATTCTAAAGACAGCGTGGGCCATTTGGAGACTCTTTTCAGTTTAAAGTTAGACTGATGGAGACTTGGTGATTGATGCCCACAAAAGGGAGAATGCTCAGCTACTAGAGTTCTAATTTTCATGATAAGATACATGGAAATGATGTTAACCAAAAAATAAAGTACGGGACTTGCGGCTTTCACTGTAATAGGATGAGTTACTTGGTGTAGTGACCCAAATGACTGCGGGGTGTTGAACAAGAGTCTGGTGGTTTGTGCTTTTTGTTTAGGAGTGAGAGAACACAGCTAGACATTAGAAGAATTTAGGCTGAATTGAGAGTACAAACTGCAGTAATAAAAAGTTAAGACCTGCAGTCTGAAAGTACAAAGAAGGTACAGAGAAAGTAGTAGCATGGGAAAGAACACTGGAGCAGAAAGCCTACAGACAGAATTCAGAACCAGCGGGAGTCCTGTCTGTGGCTCTCAGCCCACAGGTTCACCACCAGGCAGTGTGTATAGTCTGTGAAACGTAAATAGAGAAAGTAGTGCATTTTGCAGAAGAATGCAGACTAAGATTGACCTGTGTACAGCACAGCTAGTGGAGTGGTTGTCTGTTCCTCCCAGGAGTTCACAATGAACAACTACTTCTCTGTTGGACCCGACGCCCTCATGGCTCTCCACTTTCACGCTCATCGTGAGAAGGCGCCATCTCTGTTTTCCAGCCGAATCCTTAACAAGGTGTGTTGGATAAAATAGCATTTCCTGCTTATCAGCGAAGGTACAGTAAAAATCAACAGTTCAATTATACTTAGCACTCTTAAATTCAGATCACACTGACTTACAGAAACACTTATGTGCTCTGTTTTGTATAGGATTTCAAATTAAAATCTGTAAATATATTTTGTTAACTATAATGAGAGTTTTAAAATTAAAAGCTGGGATATTTTACTTATCTGAAAGCTAATTGGAGCATATTGAAGTTTATCTTAAATAGCTGAAAAAAAGTCTAGGGAAAATAAATTTTTGGTTATGTCACTAATAGAGAAAACAATGTTACTAAAACAATAAAGATTGTGCTTGTATAGTTAGCATCTTTAGTTCTATCAACCCTTCTATGTTCAAAAGTATACAGAGTTTGCTAGATTTATATGATTTTTTTCCTTAAATAATCTGGAGTACTAGGAAAATGTAGAATTTTCTTACTCCAACATAGTCTTATAAAATGTAAACCAAGAGGCAATGAATGCTATGTAAACACAGAACATCTCAGTCATATCCCACACTCCCTCGGAAAGACTAGTTAAACCACAAAATAATGGGATTTGTTGTCACCTTCTAAAGAAAAGGATGATTCTATAATTCTAACAAAATAGGAGACCTGAGGAAGGAGAATCACCACAAATTAAGGCCAATCTGGACTACATAGAAAGACCCTGTCAAAGGAAAAAGAAAGAGGGTTCAGAAATGTTGCTCAATTGGTAGAGTTCATGTGTAGTATGCATATAGCCCTGAGCCAAGGACCTGCCTCCGCTTGGGAGGGGTTCTGAGGAAATGGTGTTCAGGAGCTGCAAAAAGAACAACTCTAAGTCACATCATGGGTACAAGCAGACAGCCTGTGTTCTGCTTGAAACAGCTCTCTCTGAAGATCTCCAGACAGCTCATCCACATAGCTCAGCTCTCAAGATCAAAGCCCGGTTTTTTATTTACATATCAAAAAACTAACTCATTTATTCCAGGTCTCATTTTGATTGTCCTACAAATCAGTATTCCATTTGACCCCAACCCCTTGATTCTTAGAGCAAGCACATTTTTTGTTTCCCGAGACAGGGTTTTTCTGTGTAGCCCTGGCTGTCCTGGAACTCACTCTCTATAGACGAGGCTGGCCTCAAACTCAGAAATCCTCCTGCCTCTGCCTCCCAAGTGCTGGGACTAAAGGCGTGTGCCACCATCGCCCGGCACAAGCACATTTTTTTAACATTGCAAATGAATTCAGAGATCTGCCTCTGTAAGTAAGCATAGACAATAATGAGTAGCATCCCATCCTAAGAGTGCCATTCCCATCATGCCTGGGTCTAAACTAGCTCTATTCTAGGCTGACCTTGAACTCACCTAGAATTCTTCAACTGCAGTTGCCAGATAAAATGAAATGCAGAATGAATATTAAAGTGAGTGACACTGAGTTGCATGCAGAGGCATCCCTGATCTGTGCCTTAGTGCCCAGGCCACACTGAAACAACAGCTTGTGGCAAGCAGGAGCTTTGCCATCATGTTTTCTTAGTGCTTTAAGGTCGTCTCTACAGTGTCATCTTGATGTTTTGATGCCATATTTTCAGTGTCTTCTTAATGTTTTAATATCTTTTGTCCATTTTTCACAGGCTGTTTATTTATTCTATGGAACTAAAGATTGTTTAGTGCAAGAGTGTAAAGATTTGAATAAAAAAATTGAGGTAAGCTACTAATGTCTTTTCTAAAGGCTTAGGTATTTTCTGGATTCTGAAGTTCTTTAACAAATGCTAAATTTTCTGCAAACATACTTTGTGGATGTGGAGTGTTTTGATGCCAGGCACTTGGCTACAGTATTCTTTTTCTTTACTTTATATATATATGAGTGTTTGGCCTGTATATACAGTACTTACAGTGTACCAGTTTTGTGCCTTGTGCCCTGGATGGCACCACATCCCCCGGAGCTACAGTTCAGGACAGTTGTAAGCTGCTGTGTGAGTACCTGGGAACTGAACTGGACCCTCTGTAGGATTAGCAGGTGCTCTTCACCACTGAACCATGTCTGCACCCTCCACTTCCCTAGGTTTCTTTTTTTTTTTTTTTTTTTTTTTAAGACAGGGTTTCTCTGTGTAGTCCTGGCTGTCCTGGAACTCACTCTGTAGACCAGGCTGGCCTCGAAACTCAGAAATCCGCCTGCCTCTGCCTCCCAAGTGCTGGGATTAAAGGCGTGTGCCACCGCCCGGCCCCTAGGTTTCTTTTCATTCATCATTCCTCTACTTTGTCACAACAACCCTCTATGTCAAGCGTTACTGTATGCCCAGAGACAGTAAAACTGTTTGAAATGAAGTAATTTTCCTAAGTCACATGGTTCACGGCCACAGGAACTAGTAGTCACAACTTAAACCCAGATTTGTTTCAGAATCTGTTTAGCTGACTGATAATAAATCTAAGTTAACACAGTGCTGACTCATCTGAATGCTCAGGAAAATGTAACAGATTAATTCATGTTTTGTATGATAGCACTTATATACTAACTAAGAATGTCTAAGCAGTAAGAATAGGACATTGCTGACTGTGTATTACTACAGAACCCAGACATCATACATAGCAGTCTTGTATATCGTACTTGCTTCTAGAAAGAGTCAGTAATGGTTAATAACAACAAAAATATTAGAGGAGCCCAAAGGCATTGACAGGAAGGGGAGAAATGATAACCAGCTTGGCAAGAGTGGGCAGCATGAGCTGTAGTGAGGAGCCACCCAGCAGGGAAGGAGCTGCGAGACTCTCCAGGGAAGTGGTACTGAGTGGTGCTGGGGGTCCATCCCTGACACTTGTAGAACTTCAGTGCAGAACATGATGGCTTGCAGGGAGGAAGAGTGCAAGCGCCAAGGGGAAAGGCATCCAGACAGAGGCCAGGCCATGGAATCGTACCAGCCTGTTTAGAACTTGAATTTTGCCTTTGTGCTAGGGTACTAAGGCAGTGAAGGCTTGAAATGAGGGAGTGCTGTGTTGGGTTGTGCCCGTTAATGTGTTAGGGCGTATGAGAGAGTGAGTGCACAGCCTGTTGGAAACGTCTACAGGGGAGATAGCGGGTTCCGCCACAAAATACTGTCAGAAATGCAAGACACAGACACAGTGTCATGTGATTTCCTCCTGACTTAGTTGTAGGGAGTATAGCGTAGATAATGCCAGGTCCCCGGTCTGGGAATGTGAGGCGCCATGCTGCTCTCCTAGGTAGGAAATGGGAGCATGGTACACAGAAGGTTTTTCTGAGCATCTTATTTTCTTACTTGTATGTATGGGGACGGGGGTTGCACATGAGTGCAGGTGCCTAAGTAACTGGTTCTAGGGAAGTTGATGCCATCTTCTGGCCTCCCTGGACACCAGACATGTAGATGGTGTATAGACATAAGCAGGAATTCACACTACACATAAAATGTTTTAAATATATAAATAAAAAAAGGGCCGGGCGGTGGTGGCACACGCCTTTAATCCCAGCACTTGGGAGGCAGAGGCAGACGGATTTCTGAGTCCGAAGCCAGCCTGGTCTACAGAGTGAGTTCCAGGACAGCCAGGGCTACACAGAGAAACCCTGTCTCGAAAAACCAAAAAAAAAAAGGACAAGGTAATGGGTATTGAAGAAAAGGATGATGTTGATATATTGATTAAAACTGTTCCTCTTGGGGCTGAGGGGACAGCTCAGTTGGTGAAGGGCTTACGGTACAAGTGAAGACCTTAGTCCAGTCCCCAGAAACCAAGTTAAAAAAGTAATGAGCCAGGTAGTGACACTAAGAACCAAAATAGACAGCTTAGATTGACCTCCACACACGTGTGCACACACACATGCCAGGAATAAACCAATTAATTAATAATTAGTTCCATTGTATGAAAACAAAGAAAGGCCAGGTTGCCTTGAGTGCAGGGTGGGAAGTTGTCTTCCCCTCAGGCATGTCTCACATCTCTGAGCATGCTTATTAAAGTTTGAGTTCCAGGAGCGAGCTGTGGATAAGGTGCCCTGTAGTAACTAACTACTTATATTTCTTTAAAGCTAGAACTGGATGGTGAGCGAGTTGAACTGCCTAATTTGGAGGGTATTATTGTTCTGAACATTGGATACTGGGGCGGTGGCTGCAGACTGTGGGAAGGAATGGGAGATGAGACTTATCCTCTAGCCAGGTATGTACAGTTGCAAAGTAGCTGCTGGTTCATTGTTTGGGGGGTGGGGGGTTGGTTTGAAACAAAGTATGTCAAGCAGGTTAATCTTGAACTCAGTCTCCTGCTTCAGCTTCCCTAGAGCTAGGTTATGGGTGTTAGTACTACCACACCTGACTGCAGTATGCGGTTGTCGCTTTCTTTAAAGTGATCTGGAGTTTTGTTGTTTTGTATTCTGTGTAGTAGCTCTGGTATACTGGAGCTCAGAGCCTCTGCCTCCCACATGCTGGAGTTACAGGTGTGCAGCACTACACTCGGTCTTCTGGTTTGGTTTTTGGTGGGGTGGGTTTGTTTTTTTTTTTACTATTATTGTTTGAACTCTCATGTTTCCCTCAGATTTTCACTGCTGTGTATGTTAATAAGATAGTGGGTGGGTGTGGTGACACCAGTGCCTTACCAGTGCCTTTAATCCCATGGTTGGATGGATGGATGGATGGATGGATCAATCTGATAGATAGATAGATAGATAGATAGATAGATAGATAGATAGATAGATAGATAGATAGATAGATAGATAGATAGATAAAGTTGATGGTCCATCTGTATGAAAAGTATTTTCTGTAGATAACTTGACTTTACTACATTCTGTAATCCATATTTTCTTCTTCTCATATCAGACATGATGATGGCTTACTGGAAGTTGTTGGAGTATATGGGTCTTTCCACTGTGCTCAAATCCAGGTGAAACTGGCAAATCCTTTCCGAATAGGACAAGCACATACAGTTCGGGTAGGTGACAGTGGTTGATAGCAGAAGACAGCATGCGTCACTCATTTTTCCCCGGGCTTTATAACTTGTAGCAGGGGCTTGCAGGAAGTTGGCCAGCTAATGAAATAAAATGCCCACTGAAAAAGAATCCCTAAACAAGCTATAAAAAACCAATATTCAGATTAATTTTTTAATGTCAAATATTACGGACCTGTGGAAGTAGTGGAAGGTAGGAACGCCTGCCTGGAGTTTCTAGAACGGACACTTTTCTAATTGTTTTCCTGATTTCAGCTGACTTTGAAGTGCTCCATGATGCCGATGCAGGTGGATGGGGAGCCGTGGGCCCAAGGGCCCTGTACTGTCACCATAACACACAAGACACATGCACTGATGCTCTACTTCTCTGGAGAGCAGTCGGATGATGACATCTCAAGCCCTTCAGATCACGAGGACTTAAAGGAAGCCGAGTAGAAGGATGAGATGAAGCAGCCTCTGTGACATGTTGTCCATAAGACGCACTGCTGGCCTCCAGCCGTCATTTCATTCTTCGTAGTATGTGTGTGAACCACATAAACAGCTTTTCCTCAGCTAGACTTCAGTATCACAGACTCTCTGCCAGCAACACACTCTGATCATTATCACTAATTGAAAAAAAACCACAGAAAGGTCCACAAAGATGAAAGGCCTTCCTGGCTGGATGCTTTAAGACTGGCCTCACGCTGCATTATGCACTGCCTTGGTGGACAGGATGTGGGTGGAAGGATCATTCCCTTAGTTCTTGATATGGTTATAACACGTTAAACCTTAGCTTGCTTTTTGAACTGCCATGGCTACATGGGCTGCCTCCTGCAGTGTGCTTCGTAAGACATCCCACACCTCAAAGCAAATGGACCCTGCATTCTGATTTCTAGGAGAAAAGGAAAGAAAGATGGCACTTATAATTCTCACAGTAGAGACAGAAAAACCCTGTCTCAAAAAACAAACAAACAAAAAAACAAAAAAAACCAAGAGCTGGGCAGTGGTGACACACACCTTTAATCACAGCACTTGGGAGGCAGAGGCAGGCGGATTTCTGAGTTCGAGGCCACCCTGGTCTATAGAGTGAGTTCCAGGACAGCCAGGACTAGACAGAGAAACCCTGTCTCAAAAAAGAAACAAAAACAAAAAACAAAAACAAACAATTCCACAGTAGTATATTTCCTGTCAGGCTTCCAGGAATGTCACAACCATGTTGAACTGAAGTACAGAATCTTTTTTTTTTTTAATTGTTTTTGTTTGGGCAGTACTAGGGATTGAACCTTGGTCCTCTGAAAGTCTAGAGGAATGCTCTGTCATTGAACTACACTCCGGCACTAGTGTGTGTGTGTGTTCACATAGACACACACATACATATACATGTATATATGAATACACAGCTAGAAGTAGATAGGTCTAAAGTAAGATTTAGAAAACCTTGGATCGGAAGCTCTACAGTTCACCAGCTTTTCTTTAAACTAAAAGGTCTTGCTGACTGGAAAAAATATACACTTAAGGGAAGCTACCAAATCAGATTAGTTACTCAAAAAAAATTCCAGGCTGACTGCCTTTAAGTTGAGTGATTTTATGTTGTGAAACACTATAGGACTGTTGACAGCATTACCCTCAGAGAGGGAAGCTCCGCTAAGATGTGTATATCATATTTATTTCAAAGTGAGAAAGATACATATTTTTAACTTATTGTTTACCTTGTGGCATGATGCTCCTGTAGCATTTACACTGTACTGTACAGCTTTATTTATCAAAGTGGTCACATAAATCTGCTGGTCACAGTCACATAGAACTCTCTCTTAGTTTCCATGGCATATATACTTACCTGTGCTCATTCCGCAGACCTTAAAAGGGGCAGGGGTGCACATGATGAAGAACTTTGGGTTGCAAAGCTTTGCTTCTTTCATTGCCCCTCCACCCTCCATTGCTAAGTACTTATTGAAGGCAGCTCCATGGCTCTCCATTAGAGGGCACTCTTCTGCTGCTGTCCGTGGCCTGTCTTTGCAGTTAGCCACACCCGTGGACATCTACTTGTTGTGTTTCTGACAAATGGCATGTTTGCACTTGGTGGTCTTTCATGAATAAATTTCTGAAAGACTAGAGTCCCAAAACCACCATATATCTCCCTTTTAATGGTTTATTATGAATCTACAGTCAATGAATTGCCATAAACTTCAATTTTAGTCACCTCAGGCCTAGACCGTGTTTTTGAAAGGACAACTTTAGTAAATAAAATATTAGTAAGTACATTATTTAAAATAATTTTACTCTGCTAAATTAACCTATTCCACCTGTTCATAGGTGATACCAAATTCTACCATTGAAAGATGTTCCAAAGGTTTGTAACAACTTCACATTCACACTGGATAGCTGCAGCCAAGGTTTGAGATAACCGTGAGAGTCTGCAGCTTTTTCCTTGTGAACTGATCCTGTTTGGAGTGTAATGAAAGTCATCCTTAGATTCATGGTCAGAATTGTTAGTCACCCTCTGAGGCATACTGTTAAATTTATTGTGGATGTAGTTTATATACCTGTTATTCATAATGCTCTATTTGTGGTAAAACAACTTATTAATTCTGGGCTATCAGTCAAAATAGGGTAACTACTGAGATACTCCAGATAGAGCAGACTTATGTCCCCTTGCCACGACACACCATGGTGTCTTTCTGATGCCTTACTCAGATACCGTTGTGTAACTGCCACAATACTGTATTGCGAACATGTCAGTATTTTATCTACTACAGCCCACACTTTGAGGCAGTAGTTTACCCAGCATTCCAGATAAGTGTATAGGCATGTGCCTTGTTTGAATACAATTTGTAATACTTGGTGTTTGCAAGTTATATATTAGATGGTGAAAGCGTATTACCAGGCCTCCTCTGTACTTCACAGAATGATTCCCTGAGATCCCTCTGTTCCATTTAAAGTTGTCTCCATAGCAACACAGCTTACACAGTCTCAGGAAAAACCATGAACCACATCTCTTTTATCTGTTTCCACATCTCTCGTCTTTTCTAATACATTCCTCACACCTCATGAACTTGGTGGCTTCACACCGGATAGATCCTTAGGCAGATAGTTCTCAGTGCTTTGTATATGTAATTAGAGGCATTTCTGTCTCAGCACAGACTGTCCAGTAGTAAGGTAACAATTTAAATGTTTTAGCCATTCTGCAACTTAGCTGTGAACCTGTAATGTAGCTGATATTTATAAAAAATTTTATAGTGAAAACTATTTATTTTATTTTTCTAGAGTATTTGTGTGCCTGGTTGTAACGTAGGCTGACTGAGAAAAGTTCTTTCTGTGCTGTGTAAATTTAGTACTTCTCCCAGCATGTCAGAAAGTAATTTTCATCTGTAACATAAAGTAAAATATTTCTAATGTACACTGTGGGATTTTTAATTTGCACTAGCTAGAAAACTTGAAAAGTTATGTTAATTTGCACATTAATGTGGACCTAAATACATAATCTGACCAGAAAAGTCAGAATAGGTGATGATGTCATGATACTTTTGTTCAAAATGAAAGTACTGAAGTGCCGGGCGGTGGTGGCGCACACCTTTAATCCAGCACTTGGGAGGCAGAGGCAGGCGGATTTCTGAGTTCAAGGCCAGCCTGATCTACAGAGTGAGTTCCAGGACAGCCAGGGCTACACAGAGAAACCCTGTCTCAAAAAAAAAAAACGAAAGAAAGTACTCCCCCCACCCCCCCCCCCCTCATACCCACCCCGCGGGGGGGGGGGTGTTAATTTGGTTCTGTGACTTTTTTTTTAATTTCCGAACATTTTAGGACATGGGATATTAAGTAGATTTTATACATATTTTTTTCTTGTTTTTTTTTAAGTCTAGAAATTTTAAAGGAAAAATTGTTTTGTTGCCTCATGCCAGTCCTCATGAAGTCACATGGTCAGCAACAGCGCTGCTGCCTCACCTTTACAAAGCACGCCCTGCGTTTCAGACCTAGCCCCGCAGCTCAGGGATTCGCTGAGAGCCAGGAGGGCCACGAGTGTGGCTGAGGGGTGAATTCCTGCCCTTTTTTGGATGTTGTCAGTGTATGCTGTTATAATCCCAACACCTAGAGGGTGACTAAGTTCAAGGGCAGCCTGGCTATCTATGAGGACCTTATCTCAAAACAGTTGCTTACATTCTAACCCAATTGGTGAGCTAGCTATTAGAAATTGATAGTTCCTGGAGTGACATAGTCTTGAGACTGCTGCGTGGACTCGCGGAGGGCGGGGAGTAGAGCTGGCGGAGCAGAGATGCATGCCTTCCACCTTAGTGTGGCATATGAGACTGTACTGGATTGCACTGCACTGACCTATACTGAGTTATGTATACAACCTGTAGGTAAACTATTGCCACTATTTAAAAAAAAAACAACCCTCAGTGGGGCATGGCAGCAATGTCTGTAATCTCAAGAGAATCAGGAAGATCTCTGAGTTCAAGGCTGGCCAGCCAAGGCTACCTAAACCTGTCTCAAAGAGGGCTTTTGTGTGTATGGCTGTCTGTCTGCATGTGTCTACACCATGATGGTGTGAGTACTGGGAATTGAACTCAGGACCTCTGGAAGAACAGCCACTGAGCCATCTCTCCATCCCGGAGATTGTATTCATGTAAAATGGATTTGGAAAATAGTATCTTTGATGACTTTGTCACATGGTTGATTTTCTAATGATTGTTTTTAATACATTCAAAACCTCATGTTTTTCTGAAAATACTCTTTTGGGGATTTAGTTGCCACTTGGAATACACTCCCTTGGCTATCACAGAGCTTTCCATAGGGTTTTTGTTGTATAGTACAATACCAAACTTAGCTTGTATTCCTTGTGTTGTGATTGTAGTGTGGAAATTGTCTGTGTATTCAGTCACTTTATATAAATACATAAGTGTTTACTCTGATGCCACTGGCTGTGTAATGAGAATGAGGCTTATTGGTCTCAAAGGGTACATCCTAAGATTCTTGAAAGTATATTAGAGTCAAGTTCTAATGCAGACATTAGCAAGATTTAGCTCTCTAGATACAGCTGTAGAATATCCAAAGCGTAAGATTATGCTGATACTAGGCCAAAAAAAAATTTTTTTTCTTCCTTCTCTATAAGGATAACCTTGGTGGGGCAGTGGTGGCGCACGCCTTTAATCCCAGCACTTGGGAGGCAGAGGCAGGCGGATTTCTGAGTTCCAGGCCAGCCTGGTCTACAGAGTGAGTTCCAGGACAGCCAGGGCTATACAGGAAAACCCTGTCTTGGAAAAAAAAAAAAAAAAAACCTGGGCTATTCACTAAAGGAGCCAGCACAGAATACACTGGACAGGAAAGGAACACTGATCTTTTTGGTGGTTGATATAGAATGTTGAAACAGGGAGAGTTGGGAAGTTAGATTGTTTCCTAGTTCTTTCTGACACTGTCCAAGCATGATAGCATCCTGATTGGGTGGACAGATTTGACAGGTGAAGAAAAACGCAGGGTTAGACAGGGCAGTGTGTGCTCTTAGGTGGCGATCAACTCCTACACCTTTTGTAATTGCTGGGTTCAGGACTCAGCTAATAGTCCTTACAACTTGATCCACCTGAATGACCCCTGTGGATAGATAGGCCCTGTGATTCTGCTCTGTGCAAGTTTAGTGCAGCCTGTCTGGGTCCTCAGTCCCCTCACAAGAGAACCTCTACTCATACCTCTTAACCCACAGCACTGAAGACACTCGGTGACCCCCACTGGAGCAGCCAGCCGGCTTCTTTGACATTTACCCTGCTCTGACCACAGTAATAGCATCTACCACTGTTAATCATTCTTTGTTAGT